TGGAGTGTCGGAATCCTCTTTTGGTGTTGGTGCTGCCGTTTTGCCTTTTGATGGGAGGGATTACTCGTGTTTGTTTATTCGAAGGCATGTTAACAATATGGTGGAAACCACGTTTTCAGCTCCGCTGATTATTGATTCCTCTCATCTTTTGGTTCGCCGCTTCGATTCTCGTTCTTCTGTTGTCCCTGCAGCTTGTGTTGATTGTTTTTGTGCCCATATTTTCGATTTCAGTGATGATTTTCTTGCCGGTGATCTCGCGAGTGCATCTGCGTTTCCCGATCACCGTGTTGTTGAATCGCCCCCGGCTTCTCGCTACCGTAATTTCGCTTCACAATTTTCATTCTTCCCTGAACAGTGGGATGCATTTTCGCAAACGGCCCCTACGATGTCGCTCGATATCTCTGGCTCTTCGTTACGAGATCTGTGCTCTGTTTCTTGTTGTACGGACGATTTGCCGGCGTTCTCTTCCTTGCTTTTGCAAAGTGTAAGCGTTACCGATTTCAGGGAACTCATGGTTGAACATTATTATGCTCCCGCGCGGGAGCCGATTCTAGTTTCCGATTTTTCAGTTCAGCGGGTGAGTGAGATTGTGCGCAGACGCGAGGAACGGACGGACGAGGATTTGTTGGGTGAGGCGGAGCAGGCTGGAGTGGCGGAATCCCGTTTTGGCGTTGGTGCTGCCGTTTTGCCTTTTGATGGGAGGGATTACTCGTGTTTGTTTATTCGAAGGCATGTTAACAAAATGGTGGAAACCACGTTTTCAGCTCCGCTGATTATTGATTCCTCTCATCTTTTGGTTCGCCGCTTCGATTCTCGTTCTTCTGTTGTCCCTGCAGCTTGTGTTGATTGTTTTTGTGCCCATATTTTCGATTTCGGTGATGATTTTCTTGCCGGTGATCTCGCGAGTGCATCTGCGTTTCCCGATCACCGTGTTGTTGAATCGCCCCCGGCTTCTCGCTGCCGTAATTTCGCTTCACAATTTTCATTCTTCCCTGAACAGTGGGATGCATTTTCGCAAACGGCCCCTACGATGTCGCTCGATATCTCTGGCTCTTCGTTACGAGATCTGTGCTCTGTTTCTTGTTGTACGGACGATTTGCCGGCGTTCTCTTCCTTGCTTTTGCAAAGTGTAAGCGTTACCGATTTCAGGGAACTCATGGTTGAACATTATTATGCTCCCGCGCGGGAGCCGATTCTAGTTTCCGATTTTTCAGTTCAGGTCACGCCGTCTATTCCTCATCCTGTTGCGTCGATGTTCTGGTTCGAGCACCTTTCTTCCGACGAATTGTCTATGATGAGATCCACTTTGTTGCGATACTTTAATTTTGATGCTTACCATGCCGGGTTGCGTGCTGAAAGAACTTGTGAGGTTGCTTGTTCAGCAGAGGACTGGGGGCCGGAAGACAGTGCCTTATACCTCTCCAAACTGCATTCTGGTCTCGTTGCGGAAGTGGGGTTGCAGGCTCGTTGTAACATTGGAATTCAAGAACCTATCACACACTCAGACTTTTTGGAAGTTCTGGAAACTTTTCGTACACTTTCCACAAACCAACAATTTTATACTGCCCGTCAGCGTCATGGATTATTAAAAGACAAGGCGTGCTTTAAAAAGGAACAGCCGAGATGTTTGGCGGATATTGGTGTACAAGTCGAAAGTCCAATAACCATATCTGACTTAAATCTTGACTCTCCAGAATACCGATCAGGCTCACCGGAAAGCACTGCAAATACTTACGAAAATTACCTCATTCGCAATAGGCTTGGGCAAATTTGCGAACAGCAGTCCCATACGGCACCACTTGTATGTCCTGCTGCTACACAAACTGAGGCGGAGAGTTTTTTGAGGTTTTCCTCAATACATGAAGTTCCGTATGAATCCTTTGAGACTTATGAACGCCGTCTGCTCAGAGATGAAGTCGCTGAAACTTTCACGCAATTGGATTCAGAGACTGAGATAACCGATGATGGGAGATATGACGAGAAAGAATTGCAAGACATAACTGAAGAAGTCACAGAACGGAATCGTAAGCGGATCGTTAGTAAGGTACAGATAACTGAGGAAGTTACAGACGATACAGAACTTGTTGTCTGTGAACTTGGAATCCAGGCTGATCTGCAGAATGCTGATGCTGAACCTTTCACGACGCTAGATACACGGCCACCATCACAAGCCGTGTGGACAAGAGCACGGGGAAATCAGACCGATCCAATAAACCTTTCAGCTCTGAAAAGCTCGTCTGATTTTGGATGGGCTGATCCGGACCTGTATGCTGTCATTTTAGCTGGTATAGCTGCAAGCAGACAGAGGGATTATGATAGCTGTGGTCTTTCCGGGGATGTAGGAATGGGCGGTACTGACAGAAGAACTGATATCTGGGCCACACAGGGCCGTGAGAGTCCGAAAATAATGATTACTATTGGATGTCAGACTAGCTTATTAGGTACAGTTGCAGGAAGGGAGCCGATAAGGTGGACCGACGTGCCCAAACCAAGCCAAGCTCTTTTGAAAACAAGGAGGACGGACTATGGTGAAGAAGAAAATTTGGTGCGGCGTCTGTCATTCACTAGCAGCCAGGATAGCAGGGAATCCCCAACGTAAGTTTCAGACTTCGTTGCACACAATAATTTTTTGTGTAATGCCCTAATGTTTAATATTTTTCGAACTTCCAAAGAAAAGTGGCACCAGTAGATGACTCACTGAATTACTTAATAATTGAATAACTCAGTAGATGACTTAGCAGCTTCATCACGTGGTTTTAAGGAAAATGAATTGGACTTGAGCAAACTTCCCTTCAGTTACAACCCTTATGGGTATGAAATAGTTAGCAAGTCCAACAAGGAAACGTCCTCTTGAAGTCCTAATTTCCAAGGTGTGCGTAGAGCACCAAGGGCCCCTTTGATATTCTTAATTCTCTTACGGCCCCATTAAATTTTGAAACCTATTTTCTGATGAATGATTTGAAAAAAAGTGAAAATGTATCCGAACAGTGACTGACCTGCTCTAAAGATTTATCGTTAGAACAATCAAATATACCACATTACAAAATTTCATTGTTTGAGATTATAATTTTTGAAGATTTTAAGACCCTCAAGATAGTTCTGGGGTTCCTCTAGAGGTTTTATTGGGATTAAATGTACAGTGTACCCCCTCAGCACACCAGAAGTGACGGCAGATTTTGGATATCGTCCACACAGAAACACTCAAATACAAGCATGTTAAAGATTCGTGCATTTGGTTTATTAATGACTGTATAAATTCGGTGCCCGTTTGGATAACAGATATGAAGGTTTTCATTCTGGATAGGGCATATTCAAGATTACGCACAATCGGGATATGGCTGAGTATGGTAAGATAACCCGATTCTACATCTCGTACGTCTGAGTGGAGCAGCTTGATTCAATATGTCTGACTCCATTTTACGTGTTCTTATATCAAAAGTGACGTTCAGTTCATTACTGAAGCTGTTAGGCGCAGATGGGTTAGACGAACTGGGTGGATGACTTAGGGCGACCAGATTCTGATGAAGCTGATTTGCGATTTCGAAACTAAACATGCGCAATGACCCTCGTTATAATCACACAAGTTAAGGTTCCTACAGGATCCTCATTGGAAACGTATACTGGGTTTTCTTAATAAGAGTTTGCTTAGATAACGCGTGATTCGGTATACTGAGCAGAGGTAGTTCAAATCATTCTAGTTTCAAGTGGGCAGGAATAAGAGAAAGTCGTCAGCTGCCGTGAAAAATGCGCTGGTGGGTAGTAAATAAGACTTCAGGTATATGGTTGTTAGATGGACACCTTATGTTCAGTCCAGCTGACAAGCAAATAAAACTTTAAAGTTTGGTTTAACTCGTAGCTTGGTAGTTGAAAAGGAAATCTCATGGTGTAAGCCGATTGAGGATGTAGTCACCGGTAGAATATTCTGCAAGGAAATCACAAGCATTTAGAAGCAGGCGTAATGTCAAGCGTCTACCAATAATCTACGCAAGTCTAACATTCTACAACTATCCTAAACTCTGAATCCTTTTTACACTTTCATTGTTGATTGTGCGGATTTAAATATCGTGAGGCAAAGTGAGCAAGTCACAACCTGCAACATTAAATATAAACACCAATTGATGCTCTGTGTATGTCTTGTAGGTACGGCGGGAGTTGGCAGTGAGCCTGATATGTGTTCACTGTGTAAGTCAAATAACGAACAAAGTTACACACACGCGCCTACCATCTGAAAGTAATTTTTCCACTAGATGGATTGCTTCTGAATTCAAAAAGTCCTAAGATTGCTTGTTTTTGTAACCCCACATAGGTTACCCAATAATTGATAGATGAGAGAGTGTTGAACACCGTACTTCTAGAGAGACGGTCAAGTCAATTTATTCGATTTAGACTGATGAAGGGCCGGAGGAAGAGTGAATGTGTATAGGCTATCGCTCGTATCAAACCAGTACCACCGGCTAGACTGGACGTAGCATACTCATCATAAGTGAGTAAAAAGCACTTTTGAAGATATTGCTTTGGAACGAAGCCTCGCTGAGCATATTCGTACGCTGACCAAACTGTGTGGGCAGTAAAGACAATAATGGTATTCGAGAATTCAGGTAACACCGGAGTTATTCACATCCACATGACATACGGTCGTATTGCAAAAGATTCAAGTTGAAGTCAAAAAGCTCAGGTGACTGGTGAAATCAAAATGTGTGTCTTTATGTTTTTCATACACCCGTCCACCCCTGCGTCAGTCAGGCGAACAATGATGGAAAAGTTGAAAGGATTATATGAATACCCTATTGGGGAAGTATGTCTGAGCACTTTTTCGTAGCAAGATGCTATAAAACTTGACGACGGAATCTTCGTTTGAGGGACATTCTTTTTAAAATATCTGAAAATAAAATGTTGGTTTTGGACCAAGATACAGTTAGAGAAAGTCACCAGTGATTAACCGTTAACTGTAGATAAAAAGATCTTCGAAAAACAATGGTCTTTAGGAACTGTCACCATGAATATTTTCAGACTGCATATAAGTTGGGACTAGAACTTAACGATATTCCAATTAAAAATGTCCTATTTCTACGGCTGGTCATATCAAACTTCGACTATATAGGAGAACTGATCACTGTGGGCCCTTTATATAAACGTTGCGAAATCAATCGACTGTAGATACCCTTGGATGTCATAATAAGAACAAAGGTGGGGGACAGAGCTTGACTACAAACTGGCAACTCTATATGAGAATAGGCCTAAATCACGTGCACAGGTGTAGAAGAGGGGGCGGTGGCGCAGGTCAGTGAGTCACGGCGTAAAATGGATGTTGTCACAATCAAACTTAGTCATGGGACTAGGATGGTTATGGTACCGATGCAAGTTCAAAAATCGTACAAGTATCTTCTGAAAACAGCTTTCGATTATATAGTCACACAGGCCATCATAAATCGAATATGCTATCCATAGCCCTATGTCTAGGAGAAATTGTGCTCCGATATAATAGTATTGCTGCTGTCATGTGACAAAATACAATTTACTCCGTGACTCATTGACCGACGTACCATTTTTATCCTCTGTTCCTAATTCGCGCCCACGAATTTATTTAATTGTGCATTTGGTCTGTGTCTGGCGCCATAAAAATTGTGATGTACCAGCTAAAAGGGGACGTAAGAGACCAAAAAATATCTCAGAGGATAACAGCGCATTTCCTACCATCAGGGAACATGATGTCCAACAGTGGAATTTCATGAAGTTCGAGTGGTCGTAATACAATCATTTGGAATGGTATACTCATTGTCCTTCAGAGGAGGCAATTTGAGCAGGAGAGGAAAAGAAGAAACCATCAAGTGCAATATTTGTGACTCAGGGAGATCCAAGATAATAAATGGAATAAAAAACCGCTGAAATATAACGATACATAAGCTTTCCTTCTCGACAAACAGAACCGCTACTTTCTGATACTGGACTGTCTCCAGGCTAGAGTCAAATGATACGAACGATAAAGTCAGATAGTGTAAAACTGTGCCTGGTTTTTACACATACAATTTGTTTTAGTATTCAATTAATGTAGAAAAACACATTATCATCTGAATGGAAAAAAGAGCTTGGCTATCCAGACATATTTCAGTGACGTGATCTAAAAATGGATAATTAGCATCTCTCAGCTGGTCAGTGAACGTGGTACTACACAACAGTCAATAAATGAGCTACGAATGAATATTCAGCATCACCTCCCACATTCAACATTTCAGCCGCTAAAGAAGCACCCGGAAGTTTCTTTTTGTTTAAAACAGCCCATGTTTACGCTCAAACACTTCCCGCTTTACAGTTTCACCTTTTTAGAGAGACCAATATGAAGAAGTAGGATTTTGCATGAGTCCCTTTAACTGTTCTCTGCACAGAAGCAACGATGTTGACGAATTACTGATTGATGGTATGACTGTTTTCGCATGAGCGGTGCTGTTTACATGTAACCTCATTGCTGTTGTTTAAAGCAACTCTGTGGACAAAGTAAAACTCGAGGATACCATGCACACCAAGAGAATGACGGCTGGCTATCGACACAATGTTTGCTCATAGGATATTGAAGTCCTACGTAAAAAGCTGGTTTTTTAATGTCCAAATAATAGCATTTTATGAACTTATTTATCTACAATTATTCTCTTATGTAAATCTGCATTTATGTCCTACGCTTTAACTTAAGTGGGCCATAGACATTATCGTTGATAATGTCTTCCCAAGCATCCACCATCCCAAATTATTATTTTTGCTTTCAGTAAAGATAAATGTCCAAATGGGATTTAACACACTTTTTATCTAAACAGGTGTACGCACAATATCCGTTTTGCGGGCCTGTTTGTGGGAAAAATGTGACAACGTAATCTCCGTTGGCCACTATTCATCTAACACCATATTCTACTAATTTTTTATTTATTATATTGTTGTCTAAGCCACCACCTATTCTCTCTAACTTGTTCTCACAGATCGTTGATGATCGTTCAGCTAAGACAACGCATAATACAGTACGAACTATTTGAGGCTCGAAGCGGTTTTCCTGAAGCAAGCTGGAACAATATACGTGAAGTAGCTAGCCCAACAACAGGATTGTTTGCTCCAGTTGCCACTGCTCTTCGACGGGGTTGGATAAGCTTGGGCGACAGAAACGAATACATAAATCCGGCTACAGGTGAAACAATGTCCCTTGCTGCTGCCTACCAGCTGGGGCGTATACGACTTGCAAGCACTCCAATGAGTTCTCGAAGAGGCCACGAGCACGCAGTTTCTGAACTATTACTCATTGAACGTACCTGCTTCAACTGGCGCAAAGTCCGTCTGGTCAGCATCGTTGATACCGCAAGGGGTGACACATTGGAACCAGAAGCAGCCAGAGACGTTGGTATCCTAGAGGTCACTGGAAACGAGATCCGATTTTTAGATACAATGACTAACACATGGCTAACTATCGAAGAGGGCGTTGGTAGACAAATGATTGAAGTTGTGGATGTTGAGACCTCAGCTGATACATCTTCCACAGAAGAAGAAGAACCGGCTAGCTGCCGAGTGTTCTTTTTGACGCAGCTCTGTCCGGGTGGAGAACCCAGTGCATGGATGTCTCCAATGGAAGCCGAGCGGTTTGGTTTGTTCAACTGGGAAACAGGGGATGTTGCTGCGGATTGGCCAGCAAGACCATTGCTAAGCGATTCTGATCCAACTGGGCAATGGCCTCTCAGTGCTTTCATTCCCACCAAATGGTGCTCCTTCTTGACTGCAAGACATGCAGGCTGGCTCAGACTTGTCGAAGAACCAGACCCCAGCAAATGGATTATCACACATTCTGTACCTTATCAGGAACCAAATGCTGTTCTTTTGTCTACCCAGGTCAATCTTGTTGCCTATACATCAGCGCAAACAACCGAGACAACAGAAGATGTGCAACAAAGGTTACTAGCTTTGAATCAAGCTCGGTCAGAGGAGGTTTATCCTCAACAACCGCCGAATTCAGAGGCTTTCGCAACATTAGACTTTTCACCGCAGCTACCTGAAACGGAAAGAAGTAGGTCTTACAACCAAGTTGAAATAGAAGAGACGTCCAATGCAACATACACAGTTCACCGCCGACAAATCCACAGACGTCCCTATGCAACCAGCCGACAGCGATATCATTCAGGTGGGAATCCGCCGTCTTCTGACTCTATTTCTCCTAAACAATTGCAAAGGGGATAGTAGCAATCTGCATATATCTTGTTAACTGTATTATCGCTATGAGCACATGAAAACCGAAGACTCCAGGGAATTAATAGCACAATGTACTTTTACTTTGTGCATGATGGCATGCGATGAACTTTGCCTTTTAAGTGTATGAACCTTTTGTATTTCTCAAGTGTTTCGTCAAGCTTTTCTCCAAGGTTCATACAATGTTACTATGCGGAATAAAGCTTTTCCCACTTAATGCGCTATTCATCAGTAAGATGGCCCAATTTCTGGTAAATTGTCGGTCACGCAATTTGCTTGCCGATTGGTAAGCGGCTTGCTGGAAATCCCTCAAAGATATCAAGGAACACATAGAAACAGAACGGTAATGCCCAGCGCAAACTATCGATGACCTTTTTCAACTGGATTGGTTTCCTAGAAGGAACAATCTTTTCTGCATTTAGTAGAAGAAAATAAAGTCACCAGGTTTATGTTAAGAACCAAAAGATTTGTAAGTTTCCCTCTAGCGAAAACGAACAGGCCGACTACTCTGATGTTAAGTTCAGTCACGTATCCTTGTTAGAAATCCCAAGACGCTACACTATACTTCTACTTACCCACACAATGAAAATTGGAAAAAATGCGTGTGTTGATAATTCGCTGAAGTACTAACTTAGATCGAGAAGCGCAACAGGGAGAAATCTATGAAGAGGTCCTTTGTAATGCTTCCGATTTTGCTAAAGAAATTCTCAATAACAGTAATTGCCCAGAGCAACTATCGATGACCTTTTTCAACTGGATTGGTTTCCTAGAAGGAACAATCTTTTCTGCATTTAGTAGAAGAAAATAAAGTCACCAGGTTTATGTTAAGAACCAAAAGATTCGTAAGGTTTCCCTCTAACGAAAACGAACAGGCCGACTACTCTGATGTTAAGTTCAGTCACGTATCCTTGTTAGAAATCCCAAGACGCTACACTATACTTCTACTTACCCACACAATGAAAATTGGAAAAAATGCGTGTGTTGATAATTCGCTGAAGTAATAACTTAGATCGAGAAGCGCAACAGGGAGAAATCTATGAAGAGGTCCTTTGTAATGCTTCCGATTTTGCTAAAGAAATTCTCAATAACAGTAATTTATGAGGGATCATGGACGTTCGCCGAGTGAAAAAGATATAGAGTTTGCTAAAAGGCATTCAGTAGCAAGCAGACACTGGAGATCGTTTGCCTTTTGGCTTTACACAACACATTTACAGCATAGCCCTCTTCGAAACAATATATCAGTTACTTCATGGGCTTCCCAGCATTTCAACATTTTGGAAACAATGAAGAGGAAAGCGCTGTATTCCACAGAAACTCTTACTGTATCAAATAAAAATGCATTTCCAAGGGGCACGATGGCAACTGAGCAGTATTTACTACTGCGTATGTAGCTCTGTCACGAACGGTTGAATAGTTCGCAGAACCTTGCAGCTATATGTAACGGTCGTGACCAATGTCCCAAGCTCAATACAAGACTGAGTTAATGTTAGACACCGGAGACGTATGTAGCCTCAATTTCAAAGGGTCGCCTTGCGATATTTCTTTGAGAATTCCGTAGTAATAGTCTGCACACTGTTACCCAAAAGGTCACCGATTGAAAGGCTTAATTCCTACAAATTTGCACCTACAACGCAAGGGGCTGTTGGCGGCTTACAGTGGAGCATTGTTAACAGTTTTTTCTCCATAATTTGTTAGAATTATGAAGACTGGTGCAATCCACCACGCCCATTATATCATGACACATACAGGCTGCTTGCTTTTTGATATCCTAGACACTAGCAAAAGCAATCAGAAGTACGGGTTTTGTAAGCTCAGAACAACTACGTCATCACTTCTTCTCAAATTGAACAATTGGAGGTGTTCCGGGAGCGACTGGTACATATCTTTACACCACTCATATGGCCTTTATGCATGTATCAAATTGGTTCACAAGAGGTGTGCCATACTTCGATCAAATGCATCCGAATACGACGGCATTTGGTTGTTTAAATGAATGAGATTAGCTGCTCCACACAGTTCTTTTGCTGTGTTTGAGGGTATTGGAGCCGAAAAGATGATGTGACAACTGTTTGGACTTGTTACGACAATGCAGATTTGAAGGCCTGTTCGCATGTAGTTGTGCGAAGGGTACCATGAACTTAGCAAACAAAGCCATGATCAATGATGTGGCCTCTTTCGCTGTATCATCCGGGTAAGTCATTATGATTCAGATAGACAGGTGAGTTGCGTCTCGCTTGGTGTCTGTGCGGTGCCTTGGATCATCCTGCTAAGTTCAAACATAAAGAATAAGTCACATGACAAATGAAATTCCCATATGAAAAGCCACCACTCTATAAACTAATCCGCGCGCGACCACGTGATGTTGTTGAGGGATGTGTCTCTATACCCTGTCTGAGTTTGTGGTAATCACTCTACCGATCTGCCTGTCGTGGCCGGACAATCAAGTGTCCACATACCTAGCAGGGCGGTTACAGATTGGAGACTCCCTGAAGTCTTTTTATGCACGCACCGCTGACAAATCCCGATACGGATGACACGGCTACACAGTGTCTATCGGTGTTCAGCATAGGTTGGTTTAACTTAAATGAAGTAATCTCAGATGAAAGTTAAAATTTCTTCAATGAGTTGATGTTTACAAAGAACTGATCCGCAAGTGTCTTCAACATGTTGACCGTACCTAGTAGTTCGTTAATTTACCTGGATGTATAAATTCGACTAGAATTCTGGAGCAATTCTCTGCAGTGTGTTTATCTGGCGAATAAAAATCTCGCTAGAAGGAACCACTAATCAGAACAGTGTGGCCTTATTGCGCCGTTCTCCCGTAAGGTGCATCTTCTGTCCTCCGAAACTACACGGAGGCAGTATTCACTATGCTATGAAGAATAAACGACCAGTTGTGTGCTACCATGCAAAGAAGAATTAGGTGCGTTGTGAAAAGTTTGTCTTTTGAATTTTAAATTAATTTTAGGTGGAGGTGAGCACATATTCGCGAAGAAAACGGTGTTAACTGGAGACTCGATTGAATCCCATATTCTTCTTCAACTGCACATGCACAACAAAGACCAACCTTTGCTTTAGCTGACAAGATGTTGAAATTGTTTCCTTGATAAGACAATATTTTGGAGCTCAAATACCAATCGTTCTCTTTTTGGGTCTCATCCAATACACGTGGACCCTGATTTTGCATCAAATATCGCATTGGGCGTATTAAGAGGTCAACACTAATTTTCAAATTAGGAAAACGCTTACCCGGGACTCAACTGAATTAACTGTATGTACTGATTAATGCCATGTGAAGAAAAATAGATCGGCCAATGGATTGACGCTTTAAACAAAATAGGAACTAGTCCTCGAAAAAAAACAGAAATTTATGTTTTCGTTTACCCCTGCCCAGTTCGCAAGTGCGTATGACAAAGTTAGGTCAAAGAGTTTTCATCAACTTTGTGGGTAGTTGCCTTTATGAAGAAGTTGGGAGTGAGGATTTGCAAGCTGTCAGTCCCAGCGGTATGGTGAAGGAGGTCTACACTGAGGTTACTTGATCGGCGCTCAGTGATTACTATCTCTAGCATGAAGCGGAGTGTTCCTGCGTCAGTTCATAAAGGTTGGCGCTGCTGAGACTGATGGTAGACAGTTAAAATCCCACTACTTTCAAAATATAAGTAGGCTACCGAAAAAGATTAATTTGCCTGATGTTTTTCAGACCCTTGTCGTTAGGGCCACTCAAAAATATTATAATCCTCGACAGTCTTCTGTATTCTTTGAAGTGCACGTGTCTTCACGCTGCGCCTGGCGCCTGGTTAACAGGTCAAGAACAAACGAGGTTTCAGTTTGCCAGTGGGTGTACAGGAGGGTCGAGTTAGACCGATTTGCACCTCACGGTCTACTGCATCGGTAGTTTTCCCATGTAGACGATAGTTGGGACGACTGGACTTGCTTGGATTGGCTATGTTTGGGGGAGGGGTGGAAAAGTCTACAGTTCTCACATAACACCTACCTCTACCCGGTGGCTTCCACTGAGTGCAGTGTACACTGAACGTAAACATGACAAAATGCAGATAGAATAAGTTCGCAATCATTTGGTGAGACAAGTGAATTAATGGTGCCTTGATTTACTGAGTAGGTGTGAAAAGGAAGGGCTCCTCCAAAGCTGTAAGAGTGAGTGGTTGTGCCACCCACCCACTAACCCACCGCTACGCACCACTACGCTCCCCCACCACGCACTGGTGATGTTAACTCGACTGGTGATGAAACGTTTGCAATCAAAATGCCCAGTTCAGCATACAAGCCAACGACAGTTGAATACTCTTTAGAGGAGATAATGAGATCCCCATGACCTGTTTGATCGTATCAAAAAGTAGAATTAGGAACTGATTTGTAAATGGCACAACTGCATGCAGATCTGTCACAGTATTCCCACTATTATCTCCTAGGATATGCGACATATTTTTTCTGCATTTCTCGTAACTTGCTCCATAGGTGTAGCATCACTGCCTGTTTCACTAAAGCATATCTTTATTGGGAAGAAGTTTGGACTACATCAAATGGTTACATAGGAAGTTTTTCACATCACCGAGCATGACAACCGATAAGCAGAGCTGATGAGCTATAATAGGAGCTTACGACCATGCAGAGCCAAGTATGCTGAGAACAAATACGGATTAATTCAAATAATTAGTTCCCAATTGTTTTCTGATACAAGTGTATTGATGGGACTTTAGGCGACCGATCAGAACCGATGTGGTTTGAGGGGCGGATGAAGCATCCCACAGAATAGTCAACAATACCAACTCCGTCCAAGACTGTTTTTAACAAGATCAAGGCAGACTTTGCACTTTCATAGAATTATTTCTCCGTTATTTCAGGCCTATATTCTAATACTACCACAGCTTTGATCTTTTAAACAAGAATTACTAAACTGAGACTTGGAAAGTCATAGCTCGATGAACATCTGGAAGAAAACGCTGAAAAACCCAAGTAGTTTTTCACCACTTTCAATCGCCAGGTGCACAGCCAGTTGCAGGTGAATTGTAATTGTGCAATCCGTAAAACGGCATCGGGAACAGGTACACTTTACCGTGCATGCGACATGGATCTCGTATGATACCATCAGATCCCCATCATCATACCATCAATCACCCAAAAACCTCGCGTTTTCGCTGTATCCATCTTTTCGGTTGCCATGTGAAATTATCCATCCATTCTCCAGAATC